TTGTGAAACATTGTTTTTAATATGAAATAAAAAAAAACACAATGAACACTTGTGTACCCTCTACCTTGCTTGCAAATAGTTAAAATTCCCTGTGTGTCTCCCTGATGGCATTCTCACCCCCCGCCCCTAGAGATAACCACTCCCATGAACTTATTGTTTCCATGTTGGTCTTTATGTTTTCCTACATGTGTATATGTGTCCCTGAACAAAGCTGATAATCCTTTGCTTATTCTTAAACTTTACATAAGTGGCAACATGCTGCTTATCCTTTTTGGTTCAGCGCTACTTCTAAGATATTTTCATGTTATTACATGTGGCTCTAGATCAGGGTTTGGCAAGTCTTTCTATAAATGGCCAGATAGTCAATACTTTGGCTCTGTAGGTCATAAGGCCCATTGTAACACAAAAGCAGCCATAGATAACCTGACTGGGTTCCAAAAGACCTTTATTTTCATATGTTTCATCGGTCATGAAATATTCTTCTTTAGATTTTTTTCAGCCATTTAAAATGTAAAAGCCATTCTTAGCTTCTGAGCTATACACAAACAGGAGTCAGGCTAGATTTGGCCCAAGGACCCAGGATTTGTCAATCTTGCTTTAGATCATTCATTCTTATTGCTATAGAATATTCTGTTCATTTTACATCCTTTAAAAACATTCCTAAATATTTACAGGCTCAAGAAATTTAGTAGGCACTGTTTTAGATCAGACACTGGTCCTGCTCTTAAGAAATTTACTGTGTAAGTAGGCAAGATACATGTTAACCAATAATAAGGTAGAAAGTGATAAAGACCCTAACAGACGTTTGAATGGCCTGCCATGAGAGCTAACAGGAGTGGAGCAGGAGAGCTCATTTCATTTTGGCCCAGTGTTTGAGAAAATGGGCTATAGAGCCAGGATGCCCAGGTTCCTATTCTGACTCCACCATTTACTGACTGTGTGACCTCGGACAAATTACTTTATCTTCTTGTGTCTTGGTTTCCTCATCTGTAAAATGCAAATCATAGTCATGCTTACTGCATAGGTTTGTTATGAAAAAGAAATTGTCACAAGAATTAATTTAGTACATGCAAAGCATGTAGAAAGTGCTGGTTCAAAGTAAGCATTACATAAACGTTGGCTTTTATTATTCAAGCTGGAAGATCACGGAAGGTTTTGTGGAGGCAGTATGAAATCAGAGTTTTTAAAAGAGGGGAAGGATTAGGACATATAGAAATGGAGAGGAAGGCATTCTAGAAGACAGAGCAGTACCTGGAAAAGCCCAGAGTGGCAAAGGACAAATGTAGAAAAGTACAAGTGAACCAAGTAAAGGAGAATAGAGAGAAGTGAATCTAGAAAGGAAAGTTATGGCCCGACCATGGAGAGCCTTGAGTTCACGGCTAAGACACTGGATTTTGTCCTGTAGGTACTGAGGACTTCTTAAGGTTTAGGAACTGGGGTTTGACATGATGCTTCCAGCTCTTGGCAGCTGTGGGAGGCAAGTTTGAGAGAAGAGTCAGAATTAGGTTACAACTCCAACAGTCTAGGGAATGGGGCTTTCACTGGGGAAAAGGCAGGGTGCTTTGGAAATGGACTGGATGTGGAGGACAGGGAGGCATTTTAAAAAGCACCACGATGGCTTTAAGACTGGGTGACTGGGAGAATGGCAGTGCCATTGTCTGAAATGAGGAACACAGCTAGAAAGAGAAGGTTTAGGATGGAGAGTCATGATTTTGGTTTGTAAGCCATGAAGTTTAAGGACTCTGTATGGAATTGTCTAATGGAACTGGAGCTAGGAACAAAAAGGGTTGGGAGCAGGCTGGTGACCTAGACTACATGCTTCGAGTTAATCCTTCCAACAACTTGATGAGATAGATATGTGATTATCCTCCCTCTATTCTAGAAAGGAAGAAACTGAAACCAGAGAAGTTAAGGCTAACCCCACAGCTCATAATCAACCACCCCACTCTACTGTCACTGCACCTGGCTTTCTCAGGGCTTCACCCTAGGACAGTCCCTCAGACCCTTGCTCAGACTATTTGATGCTCTGGGGAGCTTGGACTATTTACCTTCTTGGCTTTAGCAAGTTAGAAGCAGGTGTGAAGGGGGTGGGCATAATGACAGCAAGGTAAGTGGCAGCTAACAACCAGGAACTTGAAGAAACCATCATGAGAACCCCAAATCATAGCATTCTGGGGACATTTGTTAAGATGGACTATAGTCCTTCACTCTTCAACAACCCAAGAGGATGTCTTCATAATAAAGCCCGATATTGCTACCAGTTCGTATTCATAATGAATCAAGAAAATAATCTATTTCTGGAAGTTCCAGATAGCTAGGAAGTTCCTAATACATCTTTTTTTTTTTAAAGATTTTATTTATTTGACAGAGAGAGCACAAGCAGAGGGAGAGAGAGGGTGAAGCAGGCTCCCTGCTGAGCAAGGAGCCCGATGTGGGACTCAATCCTAGGACCCCGGGATCGTGACCTGGGCCAAAGGCAGCCGCTTAACCGACTGAGCCACCCAGGTGTCCCGCTAATACATCTTTAAAAGATTTTCACCTGGTATGGATAATTTCTTATTTTAATGTTACAGGAACAGATTCTCAGCACTCTGGGGGAACTTCTCTTCAAAAGCAGCTTTCCAGATAGCAGAGATTTTGATTCAGTTGTTTCCCCCTCACTGCCTAAAGAGCCCTAGAGGTATGTGGAGGATAGCCTGGGCTGTGTAGCTTTAGGGGACCCTCTGCCAAGATTCCCAGGCCTACACAGGCTGTCATTGGTAACTTCTTCCCTTCCTCTCATCTGCCTCCCTGACTTGCTTCTTAGAAAACAGGCAATAAGAGGTAACAGTGTGCTGGGGTCAGGAGAAATAGCATCCACAGCAAACATGAGCACAATCCTAGGTACACAGGGCCCAGTGGAAATAAAGGAATAAAACGCTTGCCCTGGTGCTGACCAGGGTGGTGAGGCCATACCAAATTAGATATAAAAAGACCAACATCTGTGTCCTAGCTCTGTTGCTTACCTGCCCTGCACTTTCCTGTTTCTATCCCTCTGCCTGGAATGCCGGTGCCTCGTGAACATAGCCCTCAAGTCCTGGCTTGGGTCTTGAGAGCTCTTTCTGAAACACAAATCTGATTAAGTTACTCCCCCATTTAACACTCAGTAGCTTCTCAGTGCCCAAGCAGGGGCATTCATAAACGCTTTGGTCTCAAGATCCCTTTCCACTCTGAAAAATTACTGAGGATCTTGAAGGGCTTTTTTATATGCAGTTTGTTCCTTCTGTCAATATTTACCATATTAGAAATTAAAATTGAGAAAGTTCTAAATTTTTATTCATTTAAAAATTACAATAATAAACTCATTACAGTTAACATAAACACATTTTCAATGAAAAATATATTTTCTACAACAAAATGTTAAAGACTAGTGTCTCACATTTGTGCAAATCTCTTTAACGCCTGGCTTAAAAGAAGACAGCTGGATCCTAAAATCTGTTTCTGCATTTAAGCTGTTGCAATATCATATGTCCTATATTCTATGGAATACGTCACTGTACACTCATGAGAGAATGGGTGGAAAAAGCAAACCACATTTAGCATTATTCTGAAAATAATTCAGAGTTCACTGACCCCTGAAAGGATCCAAGGGACATCCACGGGTCCCAGGACCACTTGATGAAAACCACTGGCCTACAAGGTGAATTCTAAGGCAGACATACAAGGACATTCAATGTCATTCTAGACCCTATAATACCTCCTCCCAGGTTCTGGCTTCCTTTCCCTGTCTAGCTTCAGTTGCATCATCACCATATCCATATGTCTCCCATACTCCCGCCACACCACTCACACCAGCCAGCCATACGGTATCATGTCTTTACGCCTTTGCATCCATCCTTCCCTCTGCCTGAAATTAGCTTCCCCCTTGCAGGTTCTTTCAAGAGCCAATTTGAACGTGCTGGACTCTTGGGTGCCTCCTTTGACCCACCCTAACAGAGCTGACCACTCCCTGCAGGCAGAGTACAGGCTTTGAAGTCAAACAGGCTGGACATCAATCTTCTCCACTCAGTCATTTCCTGGCTGGGTGACCTTGGACAAGTGGTTTCACCCCTCTGCTAGGGATTATCCGCGGTGGACGTGGCGGTTAATCCAGAGGAGTGTCTGGATTAACGGAGTGCTAGCGGGCACTGAAAGAATGACCTTTTGTACAGTGCCTGGCACAGAGGGCTCACTGCGTACTTGATGAATTGGGAGAGCCATGAAGGACCGCGGGAGCTTGTACTTAACTGTGCATTTACTTGCCAGGTCCCTGCACGGTCCCATGGGCTTTACAAGCATTAACTTAACCTCACCAGCAGCCCCTTGGATCAAGTACTATCACGTGAGAGACGAGGGCCCTCAGGGAGAGGAGCGAGGTCACTTGCTCAAGGTCATCCATCACAGCTGGTCAGCAGAGGGGCGGGGACTCGAGCCCCAGCGCGCCCGCTCTGCGTCAGCCCGGCTGTGGGGCCGAGACCTGACCGCTCTTGGCTACGCCGTCTTGCCCACAGGCCCCGCGCCGCCTCGGAGTGGGTGACCGGCGGCGGGACTCGAACCCGAGCCCTCTCCAGGCCTCAGTTTACCCGTCCAGGAGACGCGGCGCGGAGAGCCGGGCCGGGCGCGGATCCGAACTCCGGTGGGAGGCGACGGGGCTAACGGGGCCGGGACGCTCGGTGGCGCCCTCCCCACGCAGCCCCGCCCCGCCCCCCGCGCGCGGGCCCAACGGCCGAGGCGCGCGCCACCCCGCGGCGGGAGGGGGAGGGGGAGGTGGGGGAGGTGGGAGAGATGGAGGGAGAAGGAGGGAGAGGGGGAAAAGAAGGGGAGAGGGGGAGAAGAAGGGGGCGGGGGAGGGGGAGGAGAAGGGGGGCGGGGCCGGGGAGCCGGAGCCGCCGCCGCCGCCGCCGCCGCCGCGGTCGAGCCCCCCGCCGCCAGCCCGCCAGCCCGCCCGCCGCCCTCCGGAGCCGCCCCCGCCCGCCCCCTTCGCGCGTCCGCTCCGGCTCCCTGCGCAGCGGAAACATGGCGGCGGAAAGGGAGTGAGCCGCCCCGCGCCGCCGCTGCGCCAGCAGGTAAGCGCCTCGGCCGCCGCCTCCGCTCGCCGGGCAAGCCCGCGCCCTGAGGGGTTTGGGCCGGCCGGGACCGCCCCGGGCGAGGAGGCGGCGGCGGGACCTGCCCGGTCGCCGCCCCCGCCCCTCCGGGCCCGCCGGCTGGCCGTCTGCCGGCTGTCGGGCTGGGGGCCTGTCTGCTGTCCGAGCGCGGCCGCGGCCCTTCGCGGCCGTGTCAGCCCGGCCCCCAGCCCCGGCGGCCTGCTGTGCTTCCGCGGCCGGGCGGGGCCCAGTGACCCGCCCGCGGCCCTGACGCGGTAGGGGCGCCCTGGGGGCCCGGCGGCGCAAACCCGAGGGCGGGGGCGCGTTTGGAGGGTCGGCGTCGCGGCGGGTCCGAGCGGCGGCCGCTCTGTCCGGGACGTCAGGGCTGGTGGCGGCCGGGACGGTGGGCTTGGCGCCGAGAGCCGGGATTCGGCGCGGCTATCAGTCTGCGGCGGGTCTGTCGCTCCGCTCGGACGCGAGAACTGAGGGATGCCTGGGGTCCGGGCGGCTCGGACCGAGGTCGGCGGGCGTGCGGAGGGCCCGGAGCTTTCAGCCGCGGTCCTCGGGCTGGCTCCGGTGGCGAGAGCTGCGCCGGGACCACTCACGTGGGCCGCCGGAAACGGGCGGAGAGAGCAGGTTTCAAGCCGCGCGGCCGCGGGGCACCGCGGAGGGCAAGCGGCCAGGCGGGCTGGACTTGTGGCACAGCTGAGTGCCAGCCGGAGAGGAATGAAAGGGGTTTCCGGGAGACGGGCGAACCCCAGAACATCTCCACACTGGAAGGGAATTTAAAGTCATCTAGGGCTCCTTTCTCCCATCGCATACCAAAGTCTCTTTGAAAATCCCCAGATCCACCCTAATCATTTGAACTAACCTGTTTGAACACCTCCAGTGATGTGAAACCCATTTCTCCCCAAGGAAACCCGTTCTGTTCCTGACGGCTTTGGTTTTTAGAAATAACTTTTGGTTCAAAGAAACCGCTGCCTCCCATTCTTTCTAGTTCCTTTCCCTTGTGGACAGCTGTTGAGATGTCTGAAGATAGTAATCATGTCCCCAGAGTCTTGTCTTCTCTTCACTAATTCCAGTTCCTTCAGTTGTTTCTTACATGCCGAGGTTCTCTGATCCCTTCTCTGAATGAGCTTGACCATATATCCTATTTAAAGGAGAGCTACTTAATGTGTGTGAGGAGACAAAACCTATTAAGTTTCTCCAAGAAGTTTCTTGGTCCCAAAGATTGACCTGCTTAAATAAAAAGCTGTGCTGTATTCCTCATTTCTGTGCTGTATTTTGAACTTAAAAAAAAAAAAAAGTCCAATACTGTGTTGAACTGAAAGAGATCCTGTTTTGTGAAGATGTTTGGGTTTCCCCTCGTTTTTAAGTAAATGTCTATAAACACTTTATCAGATGAGCTGATGTATATCAAAGTATAGCAATGCACCATGAGAATAGGAGAGCTTATTATTTTTACTCTGAAAAAGGATTGAGACGCAGTTTGGGGCCAGACTGCAATTTAGTATTTAGTTGGAGAGGGACAAGCTTATTGAACTCTTTGCTCTGTTTCTAACTGCCAGCAGAAGGCCCAAAATTACTATGAAAAATAACAGTTTTTGTTGCTCACTTACCAGCGTTATGTTTTGCTTTTTCATCACTTAGCCTTGGTATGTGAGGGTTAAGTTTTTAAAAAGTGTCTTTTACCAACATCCTAAACTACCCTAAGCAACCCTGCAGGTTAGTAGTTTTTAAGCCCAGCAGAGATGTGATGGCCTTGTAGATAAAATGCCAAACTCTTGTATCTGGGACCCTGTTCAAATTCTAAGCAAAGTTTCACTGTCTTTGTAACATAGGCAAGCACATACCAGCAGTCAGAATTGGTTCTTTATCTTTGTTCTTGTGTCTTTATTTTTTAAATTGGTCAGTGGTTTTGAAGTTTGCAGCACACATATCAAGTTTTGGTTTTTGGTTTGTGCAAATGCTATTTCCCTTTTACATAAGTTGGGTAAAAAATTGTATAGAACCATTCTGTACAGAACTATACAGGCTCAGGAAAGGCTCTGGTTCCTTCCCTTCAAAGAACTTGAAGTTAATGGTTGGAAATACTGAAAACTCTGTGAGAAAGAACTGGTGTGAATATACCGCTACAAATTTAAACTCAACATGTCCTAAACTTTAAGCCTATCCATTTACTTTGTGTCAGGAACTATGCTTATGTCCTGTGTTTCGCTGGGTATACAAAGATGAATAAGATACATTTACAGTTCTTGTGGAGCTGGTAAATTAAATGCCCAAATAGGTCATCTCAGAATAAAAGGTGAGAGGGATGCATTTGATGCTGTGGTTGCCCCAAGGTCGGGGCGTTTAGACTAGCGTGGGACTTGAGGGAAGGCTTTGGGAAGAGGTGACACCTGACTCAAATAATAAATGGTAAGAAGACAGTCATGCAGAGAAGAGTAAAAAGTGTGCTTCCAACAGAGAAAACAGCTCAAGGAAAGGCATTAATGTGAGAGAAGGAATGGCTTGCATAAAAAACCACAAGCGGGGGACACCTGGGTGGCTCAGTTGGTTAAGTGTCTGCCTTCAGCTCAGGTCATGATCCTAGGGTCCTGGGATCGAGTCCCACATCGGGCTCCCTGCTTAGCCTGGAGCCTGCTTCTCCCTCTGCCTGCTGCTCTCTCTCTTTCTCCCTGACAATAAATAAAGTCTTTAAAAGAAAAGAAAAGAAAAAACCACAAGCGGTTTGAAACTGCTAAGAATATAACAATACAGACATAGGGCGCCTGGGTGGCTCAGTCGGTTAAGCATCTACTTTCCGCTCAGGTCATGATCCTAGGGTCTTGGAATCAAGTCCCACATTGGGCTCTCTGCTCAGTGGGGAGTTTGCTTCTCCTTCTCACTCTCCCTCTGTGTTCTCCCTCCCTCCCTCTCTCTGTCAAATAAATAAATAAAATCTCTTTTAAAAAAGACATAAATGATAAGCTGTAAGGCTGCAAATATAGGCAGAGACCATACCATAGTAGACCTTGTCCTTGTATGCATAGGTATTTTGAAATTTATTCAGTGGGTGATTTTTTTAATCACTGAAAAGTTTTTATGAGACATGGGTAGAATACATTTTTAAAATGTGGTCATAGGGATGAGAAGAAGGGAATGAAGTTTTGAGAATCTGTGAGGCTTTATGATTGATTGGATGTGTAGATGGGAGGGCCAGGAGTCCAGCATGATGCTCAGAGTTTTGGTTTGGGTGACTAGGGGGATGGTGGTGACATTAACTGAGACAGGAAACACTGGATGACAAATTCGGTTTTAGACTTGAAGATTTTTCAGTAGCTTGAGTTAAATCAATGAACAAATGTAGTGGAAGTAAGCTAGAAAAAAGGGAGGTTATGGTCAGAAAGTGGAATATTGGAGTTAACTTGTGTGGTCTGGAGCTCTTCTAGGTGACAGCTAGGTCTCTGTGTGTGGGTAGCTGAGGTACAGCAGAGGTGAAGGTCTGTGAAGCTGAGTATGACAGGAACTTCGGGATTGTTGCACTGAATGAGTCATCTGTGTGGAAAGGGAAGTGATTTAGGATGCTAGGGTGTGGGGAGAGGGTGATTGTGACCCAGGTACGGTGAATGGAGGGGATTAATCGAGAGGGTGGCAGATGACAGATGAAGAGCAGGGGTAGAGAGTGATACAGCCAGATGGTGGACACTTCAAAGGAGGAGGAATTTTTAAACGGAAGCATGGAAAAGTAGTGGTTTTTTACTTTTCCTTCTTGGGAGCAGGGTTCTGATCTCTTCCTCTTTATTCAGGACTCCTGTTAATCACTTTTGGCTCTGAAGAGTCTGTTCTTAGTCTTGAGAAGTAGGAGGGCGAGTACCCTATATCACTTCCTTTCTGCTGATGCTTAATGACAAAAAAGTCAATGGAGGTTTCCCCATTGATGATTGGTAGGTGGATAGGAAACAATCAGATAAAGCAGTGAGGTTATACTCACGGTTTCTGGGAAGAGCCTACATTTTGAGTTAGAAAGAGCAAGATTCAAATCTAGCCTCTGTCACCTACTAACCTTAGGACTATAAGCAAATTGTCTAACCTGTGTGACTTTCAGTGTCCTTACCTGTAAAAAATAAATTCCTGTTTCATAGGGTGTCACAAAGATTACATGAAATTATGTGTATAAAATCACTAGAAAAGCAATTCAAAGGAAATGTTAGTTCTCTTTCAGCTACCTTTAAGGGACGTAAGCTCTGCTGGCTGAACTTTTCTCATGCTTACTTAAATTATAAGGCAATAAGTACTCAAAGAGAGGAAAAGCAAAGGAATGCAGAGTTCAGAGGAGGGAGCCATCATTTCTCAATATTTGGAAGCAAGGTTAGGTTTCACACTCAAAATAAATTTCATTTGGGCATTGGAGAACAGATTTCAGTACATTAAATAATTTAGGTGGAAATACAAAGGGAGAAAAGTATAGGGTATGTTTGTTAAAAATGGATGGTTGCTATTGGTCTAAGGGTCTGAGTATTGTGTAAGTCAACAGTGAGCGATATGGCCAGAAAGATGGGCTGGGGCCATAGTATTAAAGACCTGGAACTATGTAGTTTGGACTTGATGCTAGATAGACTAGGGAACCATAGATTGTATATCCTCTCTCCCTACTTCAGTTTCCTATCTAAAATTTATAGTTTCAGAACTTGGGATTTTTGTTTGAAGTAAACCAAGTAAGAAATTCCACCTTTGAAAACAAGGCCAGTTTTAGCTTAAAAAAAAAAAAAAAAAAAAACTGTTAAGATTTGTTTTATAGTTGTACTTTAATCTCTGAGATAACCTTGCTTGGTAGGTAGGCTTAGTGGAGTTTTAAGAAACATGTAAGATCTTACTGGTAGAAAGTGATTAAAGATGCTTTGATTTCAAAATCTGTCTTTTTTATACTAAATGTCACTGTTAATTGTACAACCCTGGGCCAGTCACTTTGCCTCTCTGGTCCTCAGTTCCCTCATTTTTGT